CTCAACAATCCTTCAGATTCCTTCTTCCATGGCCACCGTCTCTTCCTCCCAACCTTCTTCCTGGCCAAACCCCAACCCTAATCCGGATTCCGACTCTTCTTTTCCTTCGAACCTCGATCGCGGAGACGACACCGAATCTCTCGAATCCTTCTCCTCCATGAGTCTCAACTCCGACGAGCCTAATCGGAATCCCGATCGGATTCCTGATTCCAACCGCGACGTCAACATTCAAACCCCAATTTCTCCATCTACGCCGAATTCACCAGTGACGCCTCTTCCGTCTTTGCTCTACCTCTCCTTTAACCAAGACCACGCTTGCTTCGCCGTAGGAACAGATCGTGGATTCCGGATCCTTAATTGCGATCCGTTTCGCGAGATTTTCCGCCGTGATTTCGATCGTGGCGGTGGTGTTGCCGTCGTGGAGATGCTATTCAGATGCAATATATTAGCACTTGTTGGTGGTGGACCTGATCCTCAATATCCACCAAATAAGGTCATGATTTGGGACGATCATCAGAGCCGATGTATCGGAGAACTCTCGTTCAGGTCCGATGTTCGATCGGTTAGGCTTAGGAGGGATCGGATAATTGTGGTTCTGGAGCAGAAGATTTTTGTTTACAATTTCGCTGACCTTAAGCTGATGCATCAGATTGAGACCATTGCGAATCCTAAAGGCTTGTGTGCTGTTTCTCAAGGTGCTGGTTCTATGGTGTTGGTGTGTCCAGGTTTGCAGAAAGGGCAAGTTCGGATTGAGCACTATGCTTCTAAACGGACCAAATTCATCATGGCTCATGATTCGAGGATTGCTTGCTTTGCTCTAACGCAGGATGGTCATTTGTTGGCCACGGCTAGCTCTAAGGGTACTCTGGTTCGGGTGTTTAATACTGTTGATGGCACCTTGCGGCAAGAGGTATCAATATAAAGCTTTTACGCCATTCAAAAGGCTTTCTCGATATGAGTAGTTTTATTGTTCAATGTATGAATCCTGGCAAATTTCGTTGTTTAGGCACTTGACTAGTAGTTTTTGATTTTGAGGATGAACTATGCAATGTAGAGTAGGACTGGATTTTGATGAACTCATTTCATATGCAGAGAAGTTCATTTATGTATTCATTTGTTGGATGGTTGTATATGATAGAGGGCGATAGTTTGGAACTTATCTATGCTTTCAAGTTATCTTCAATTTAGTGTGTTCTTCTCTTTGGACTTCTTTCGAGTTTGCACCTCAAATTTCAACTTTTATATGGTATTTTGATAGAGTGCTGAGGGTGAGGCCTGTTGATTGAAAAGGATGCATCTTTTGTTTGGTGATAATTTGAACACGTTAAACTTTTAGGGTCGTTGATAAATCCATCATCAGTAATTGTTATCATGAAACATGTAGTAATTAATCTTGCAGCTGTTCTTGTTCCTCAAGTTGCAGAGTCCTATTTCACTGGAATCTCTTAAGTCTTAATTAAGCTCATTTGCATCGGTTGCTCCATAGGAGAAATTTCCAGTATATATCTTATCATCTGTATTAAGATGTTGGATTTGCGCATCATGTATAAGCCTCTGAAATTTTACAATTCTTAGGGAATCTCGAATGTAGTTTTGATCCTTATGATAATGTGGTATGATGGTACAATAATGCCAACTTGACGTGACTGTACAGGTTAGGAGGGGTGCAGATAGAGCGGAGATATATAGTCTGGCCTTCTCATCAAATGCTCAGTGGCTAGCTGTCTCAAGTGACAAAGGAACTGTCCATGTCTTTGGTCTCAAAGTCAACTCCGGGTCTCAAGTGAAAGAAACACCCCGAATTGCATCTGAATCTACTCGCGCTCCCTCATCCCCATCTTCGTCTCTGTCATTATTCAAAGGTATAAATACTGTAAACCCAAAATCAGTGTCTTTCATCACGTAGCTGCCTATTGATTCAGTAACCCGAAAATCAGCTACTTTCACACATTGGCATCATTAACCAATAACTCTTTTGCTCTTTATTAGGAGTGTTGCCAAAGTATTTCAGCTCAGAGTGGTCGGTGGCGCAGTTCCGTTTGGTGGAAGGAACTCAGTACATAGTCGCCTTTGGTCATGAGAAGAACACCGTTGTTATTCTTGGCATGGATGGGAGGTAAGCTTGGAATTCCATTGACAAATTCTAATCGCGCGAACTTGAATTTGGCAAGTGAATTCTTATGATTTTGGTCTGTATACTGCATATCTGATTTGACCGGATTTGGTTTATGTTTCTTTGATGTTTTTAAACAGCTTCTACAGATGCCAGTTTGATCCGATCAACGGTGGAGAAATGTCTCAGCTTGAGTATCACAACTGTCTCAAACCGCCTTCCGTTTTCTAGACGCTTCTATTA